TTCTGGACGCATAAATCAGGTTTCAGGTGCTTGATGGAAATGGCTTCAGTGAACTTGACGAGAATTGAGCTCTTTTGCCTATTGATAATTTTGAACGACTTTTCGACGTCAACCTCATGACTCGTGTCGAGGAGATGCCTGGCAATGGCACTGTTTAAAGCACTTGTTCCCTTTAGACATAAGCTTTTTGGTACATGTTCAGAAAATCTCAGATATGCCCTTCTTTCTGTCCTTCCAATGTAACTGCTCCCGCAGATACATGTAAATTTTTATATACAGTTGGAGTTAACATGAGGAGGATATCTATCGATTTTTGATTGCACCAAAGAACGAGTTGTTCGATAAACATGAAAGAGCTTAGCTGCAGGATAGGCTATGGCTAGTGATTTACTCAGCCTTCTATTGATCATCGCTGCAGTGTTTTCACCTTTATAATCAAGCTGAAAGTAGATTGACTTTTTCCCACTGTGATTTGTTTTACATTTGTGACTTCAGATCTTCCATACTCGTTGATGAACCTTTGAGGGTATCCATTACTCTTCAGTATCTTTTCAAGAAACTCAAATTTTCCCTCTAATTTCTCTATAGAGCATATTCTCTTCGCTCTATAGTACAGAGTTTTGACTAGACCACGTTTTAAGCTATTTGGACAAAAACTATTAAAATGTAAGTATTGTCCCTTCCATGTAGGGTTTCAATAAATTGACTTTTGAAGACTACCATCTTCTAAGCGTTCCATGGCAATGTTGAGGAAGTGAAACTTTCCGTCACTTTCATGTTCCAAAGTAAACTCAATATTGGCGTGTACATCGTTGAATAATTTGAGTAAGTGTGAAGCATGACTTTCATTGTTGCATACTACAAATGTGTCATCCATATATCGATAGTAGGAAGTTGTTTCGTCCATTACATGCTTCAACTTTGTTCTTTCAACGCTGGACATGAATATATCTGCTAAAACAGGGCTAAGTGGACTCCCCATAGCTACACCATCTATTTGGCGGTAAACAATGTTGTCAAATGGGAATCGCACATCCACGGTACACATAAGTAGTAGGCGTTTGAATTCCGACTCTAGGAGGGGGAGAAGATCAGACTGCTAACAAATGATCTCAATAGTTTAGTTGATGGGAATCATTGTGAACAATTACCAAAAATCGATGGCTTGACTTCATATATTGAAGATAGACACTATTAAATAGCAGACTAAAACGATACAATTATTGTGTTCACTAACCTGTCTAAAATTAAACTATTGACAGTAATCTATAGGACAGATGAGCAGTCTAACACACAATATGCAGCTAATAGGTTTCTAGTGTTCAACTTCTAAATAAAAGCGTAATAATATCGCGACTTTTTGTTCAGTAGCCACACAGGACTGATATATTTAGGGTGAGCTATCAGCTACATTGCTATCTGAGGCGCTAAAATCACAAATTGGTGGGAGTTAGAATTCACGGGCCATTGAATCATGTCCCAGTAGATGAATGGTATACCAGCTTGCCATGTAACCGGAGGTTCCTGGGTTGAACCCCAGTGGATACGTACAGCCTATGAGTCCCAAACTAGAACGAAGCAGCTATCCAGTACTCTCTGGTTTAGTAACTGATATCAATCCATGATCAAACTTGAAACAAAACAAATTCCTGCACACTAACTCCTGAAAATGACTATGAACTGATGAATACGACCATGGCTTACAATGGTAGAATCCACTACCTTGGTTTGTATATTTTCTCTGATCTTTCCTGGTCTTCCATCATCACGTTAGTTTCCAGAAAGATATTTCGTTTGACATTCTATGTAAGGAAGTTAAGACGATCTGTTTTCATTCCATCTTTACTGTAACCGTTCGGTAGTTCTTGTATTCTGCCTATACTTCTCAACTGTTCCCCCTATAGTCTTTCCCGAGTTACTTAAGAAAGACTTTGGTATACTGCGTAGGGCGCCAAAAGCCGTTAGTAGGAGGAGTGGGGTGTTGCTAAACCAACTCGTTAATTACTCAGAATTGGCTATAGAGGTAAAAAAAAAATATAAGTTATAAAGTGCGAAACTTTGCGGCTGAGCTACGGATCAATTTCTACAGCCGACAAATGATCAATGGATGTGTGAAGGATAAACTGCCGCTTTGGGCCACTTCAGTGTGTGTTTATAAATTCACCTGCTCGTGTGGAGCTAGTTATATTGGCCGCAAAAAGCGGACACTTTCCAAACACATCACTGAACATTATCCAGCAAGACAATTACTAGCTCAATTCTCGAGCACTTCGTGAAATCAAGTCACGTAGCTTCACCAGAGTTGTCTTTCAAGATCATCTACAAGGTGAGGCCAAATGGTACAAAGAGCGTTAGGTTTCGGCTTTTGTGTAAGGCAGAGGCGCTGGTAATTCGTCAGTACAACCCCAAACTCTGTATACAGAAAAAGTGTGGCCAGTCTCTTATTCTACCTTGTTCTTAACCTCTTCACAAGCCGTTCCGTGTAACGAAATTTCTATTTTCAATTCCACTTTTAGTTTGCTTTCACTTAAATAATTAATTCATTATTATCACTCTCATATGTTCCTTTTGTTCATTTTCACACTTGTTAAATTGACACTCAACTCGTTAATACTGTTGTAGATAGATACTTGGATTCCTGCAAGAAATCGGCAAATATTATCCTGTCAGACTCTGAACATGCTCTACCTACACAACTCTCTCCTTGCATCTCATCGGGTAGAACTAGAAGCGACTAAGTGCAAAAACTCTACGATACCTTATTTAGCACATATTTTATGTGATGAGAAATGTGTGGAACAGGAAATTACCAACTTACTGAGGAACTCTAAATAAACGATATTGTTTTTTGTTCGCATTATTACATTGTCGCTAATATTTTCACTTGATTCAATATTATATTCACTTGTTGAACAATATCATCAATGCAAATTATTATTAATTTAAATGCCCTATTTTAATTATTGCCCCTGTAATTAAAGAAACAACCTCTTTTAACTACCTGAGAAGCATCGTTTCAACTACAGGCGGACGGAACTGACGAGAATATCAAAACGAGGATCGGGAAAGCAAGACAAGCTTTCATTACTCTCAAGTCTGTGTGGAGGTCAACAGCACTCACCATCAAAAATAAAATCCGGATTTTCAACTCCAATGTGAAGTCAGTGCTACTATACGGATCACAGACTTGGCGCCGTGTCATGAAGAGCATCTCAAACAAACTTCAGACCCTCATTAATAGTTGTCTTCGCTCAATACTCAAGATCAGATGGCCAGAAAAGATCATCAACAGGGAGGGATCTCTGGGAGCGAACCAACCAGGAACCGATTGTGCAACAAATAAGCAGGAAGAAATGGAGATTGATTGGTCATACTCTGAGGAAACCACCAAGTGACATCACTAGACAAGCCATTGCTCGAGTGGAACCCGAAAGGGAAGCGGCGAGTTGGTCGTCAGTGCAAGGGTGACATGGAAGAGGTCATGTGAAGAGGAGATGAAAGCATGTGGGCAGACTTGGAGCCAGAGGGTGACTCTAGCAGAGAACCAAACTCAATGGAGACGTGCGGCTGAAGCCGAATGTTCCTCTAGGAATTAAAGGAAATAATAATAACAGCTTTATTCTGGGCTAACGGTCTACACACTGTACAGAATCCTCAGGGTATTTTATTGCATAATATTTACTCTTCGCTCAAGGTTTCCAAGTAAAGTAGTAATCGACAGTATATCATGTGAAGCAATACCGGTCAATCTGAAGCAAATGCCAATCCAATTCTCTACTATATTTTTCCTGTCTCCATAGAAAAATATACAGCAGTGGGGTTTAAAGCGAACTACAAAAGTACGTGAATGTATCGTGAGACCCGGGGACATATACGATTGATTGAAAAAAAGAAACAGAGGAAATTTACTGCCTTATGCTGGATGGAAACTCAGGTAGATAGGCAGTTTAAGTAAGTTGCTATTTCAGAAGGAACTCTAATGCACCCAAAGCCACGTCCGTTATTACTATTATCATTCGAAGACATGATTAGCTGTCTTTGATCATAGGTGCCTGCGCTCTATCCCCCCTGTGAAGTGGTATAATAAGGTGAGCAATATTGAGATTAGGCGTCGAGTTCTAGGTAAGCAAGGGAAATCAATCGACGAGGCTGTGAAATTACATCGACTGAGATGGTTAGGATATGTGTTACGGATGCCTAGTCATCGCCTTCCTCGACCGACGGGCAATGTTAGCTGACATAGGGTCAGGCTGGAAAAGAACCAGCGACGGTCAAACCAAAACATGGCACGAATCAATGAAATCCACAACAGTTAGTTTACGCCAACCACGTAGGAAGATGTAGACTTCCTGACTGGCTGGGGTCCTCAGGATGGTAAAAACCAATAGCTGGAAACAATTGGTGATATGGCTGTAAATCGTTCTCAATGGCTGGCGCAGATGCATCCACTCCTTGTGACTTATGATTTCCAATGAAACTGTATTGTTCTTCGTTATTACTCTTCCTTTGTCTCACACCTCTGTTTACTGTCTCTATTATGCATTTCTTATACTTTCTTCTCTTGCTTGGTGTACTACATGGAGTGTGGCGACTTGAACTCCCGCACAACGGTGCAAAGTTCTATGTCGAAAACAGACAGACAACTATTATCATTAGTATAAGATTTAAAATCAAGGTAGAGGATCAACTTTAAACATCTAATATAAAATCGCAAGCAATCTATTAGAGATGTTGACGTCCACTTCATAAAGAACCTATCCATTGTACTCAACACCATAAGAATCTTCAACCAGCCAGCCAGTGATCACATTCCGGCCATTCATTAAAAACGCAGACGGAGAATCTAAACAGCCTTTGCAAATAATTGGAAAACCCGTATAGACTTTTCTAGCTACAACAACTAGGAGGAAATAATAATAATAATTGTAAAATACCCGGCTTAACTTCTGAAAAACTCACGACTATTCCCGTCAAGTCAAGTAAGTCATCAGCACACAAGATTAGAGAATGTTCAAAGAAAATTAAAATCTGTTTATTTATTTATTTTTTTGTTTGTTTGTTTGTATAGAAAAATGAAATATAAAGAAATGATTGTAAACAAAAGAAACCATTCATTGAGAAAAAGAAAAGATAGAAAACAGAAAAACCAGCGAGCATATATTCATCCTCTTGCACACAACAACATGCCTTGCCTTCCAGTGGTATAACATGGGGGGTATAGAGAGGAAGTTACATCATTCATCCATCCTTTCGCTTATATAATGTAGAAGAAAATAAAACACAATGCGACGTACGACTTTCAGTGTTTAGACTACAAGACTGTGTTGTACAAAAAAAAGAAAGGAGACAGTCAGTCCCTTGTATATATGTGGTATTAATAATAATAACTTGTTAGGAGTGGAGAGGAGGTTTATTTAGTAAATGGATCAGCAATATGAGTAGTTGTTGTTGTCGTTATCTCATCATCTTTATCGAATACTTTTCACAGAGTACTCATGGTGTGGAAAAAATGTCTACATGGAAGAGGGAACATTGTGAAAATTGGAAGATTGAGAAAAGACTAGTCAGTTAGATTTAAATAAGTGGGTAGGTGGGTAGATAGGTAGGTAAGTAGATAAATAGGTGTGCATACCATCAAGTCGTCAAACTAATAAATTATTATTTTAACACATGTCTCTCTACACACATACAGGAACACATACAGACACAGACACGCACACGCACAGATATACAGCATGATTGTGTAAAATAGCTTTTTTCAAAAATACAGGAAATAATTCCTAATGATAAACTGAATATTTCTTACTAATATTATTAATAATAATAATATTAATGTTAAGAGAAAAACAGAATATTAAAGGAACTAATTCGATAGGTACAAACGGCGCACTCACAAAAAGAAAAAGAGGACAATATATTAAACGATAGGATAAACAAAAAGGATTCGAAACATGGTGATGAATGTTGCATGGAATATTCTTTGTAAAAAACAAAAAAAAGAATTATGCATTTCACAGTTTCTATAGAAAACTTGAAAGTTATAGGCTAAACACTGACAGAGATAGTAGTGGTAGTAGTAGTATTACGTGGATACACACAGACGCACAAAACACATAAATGTACACATTGAGTAGTAGTGGTATATGTGAAACTTTATACAGCGGAGAATGTGTAAAGAACATTTACTTGATTCACGGAATACATCACAATCTGAGAGGAGGATGGCAAGATAGAGATTCGAAGTTATACGCTTACACTATACACAGAAGACAAACACAGAGTTACAGAACATGAGTCACCTGGTATATATATACGGTTCTCATTTGAAAGAAAGGTAAAGTAATAGGTAGAAAAAGTGACTAATAATCACTTATGCTGAGGATTGTTTCTACCTCGATTCGAATGCCTGTGGGCATTATCCTGATGATGGTGAATTGATGAATTGACTGATGGATTTTTAGCAGCATTTTGACGAGTATTTACTGGTCGACCCACACGAAATATGTAAATATTGAGGAAGTCGGCTAATTGGACGCATATATCAGCATCGTATAGTATGACGTTGACAAATCCAAATATCTTAAATGTTGGAAATAAGAAGAAAATAAACAACTGGTGATTAATACATAAAAATTTTATAGTTTACTTTTTAAAACAGCAACAACAAAAAAATATATCTTTCTATCTTTTTTTTGACTAGTAACAAACGTGCTTTTTAGAAAAAAAATACTTTCTCAACAACAACAACAACAAATGTAAGGAATGCATATCTTTCAGAGAAATTCTTGAATCGACATACAACAAACAGTCTTATAGAATTAAGACGGTAAATAAACTCAGTTGTCATGGTGACATGAGGTGATGATGATCTAAGTGCATACGTGTTCACATTTCTCAATTCTCCAAAACAATCATTATCATACTCATAAAATATGAATTGGTCGATATCATCACAGTATCACAGAAGCAAATTCACCTACCTTGGATGACTGACAACTGAAAAAGCATATCACATCACCTGGCCTGAAAGCTACACTGTATTCTGAATTATGCCTAACTGAATGTACACAACAATGACTTGACTGAGTTTCAAGCAGTTCAATTTGCTACACTTCATGCAGCACATAGAGTACAGGAAAGACAGAAAAAATCCTCCATGCAATCAAGCAAAATCCCTATAAAACCAATACTTGAAAACTAATCAGATGTGCTCACTAGTGACTGGTCCTATTCAGGCAGTTAACCTGGGGTTCTAGTGGGAAGCCGTGACGAGAAGGGTACAGCAGGTTGAAGATAAGGCAGTAACTCATTGCGAAATGGTCGCGCTATGTCGTGAATTGGCAGAAGTTAGAATTCAAGAACCACTGGGTCGGGTCCCAGTGGCTCAATAGTCCACGAGCTCGCCTTGTAACCAGAAGGTCCTGGGTTCGAACCCCGCAGTAAGGGGCGAACTGATGAAGAGTCCCAAACTATGACGAAACAGGTGTCTAGTACTCCCAGGTTTTCCAGTGGTTCTCTAACTGATATCAGTTCATGATGAAATCCTCCATGCAATGAAGCGAAAAATCCCTACAAAACCAATACTTGTAAAAAAGAATTCAAACGAATTATGATGAGAAGTAATACACCAGAGAAAGAACAGAAACATGGAAAAACGTGAGTGTTTAATGGAGCTGGGAGATTACAAAGAGTAGTAATGCATCTGTGCCATTGAGAACAATTTTGAGTCATATCCTCAAATGTACGTAGTAGATAAGGATAGAACAGAACGTGAAATAACTAGGGGTCAACTAAAGTTGTTATAAGACTTTATATGTATATATATATATATATATATATATATATATATATATATATGGATAAGCCGGGGAATAAAAAGTGGGAGATATACCACATAAACATGGCAAAGTTTGCCTAGTTCGTATGAAGATAAAGTGTAGGAACGTATTCAGCAACTACTCTTATCTACAAACAGCTCGTAGCTACGTAACCTAATCTCCAATTATACACTTTAATTGTTCCATGACTCCCCGCAGGAAAGCCTACAGTTTTGTGCACAACCTAGAACAATTGTTGAAATCTTAGGTCAGTGACGCTACGAAACTGAAGAATAGGCCGTAAGCTAATCACTACTTAATTACTGCTGTTTGGAATAAGAAAGATAATAAACTTACCCACTGGGGTTCGAACACAGGACCTTCCAATTACAAGGCTAGCAACCTCGTATACCATTCAGCCACTGGGACCCGATTCAATGGCCAGCTCATGAATTCTAACTTCTACCAATTCGTGATTTAGCGTGAACCCAACCATTGTCGTTGGTGGGACATCCATCCTCACACGTGACATCTAATTGGACCTCAGTGGTCACGACTTTTCACTAGAACTCCAGGAAACTCCATCCTGTAGCAAGTCACTAGCGAGCATCGGAATAATTTTCTATAGTATGGTTTGATGATTCCCAAACTAAGATGAAACAGCTGTCCAGTACTCCCTGATTTTCAATGGTTCTCTAGCTGATATCAATCCGTGATCAACTCGTAAAAACAAAACTAACTCTTACAAACCAAACTATAGAAAATAATAAACTTATGCATTACCGTTTATGACAGTCAAGAATTGTTATTCATCACATTCAGCCATTCTATTCAACTTGAAGTACTGTATCAGCTATATTAAGGGTATAGCAGAAGCTTCAGGATTTTGACGCGATGTAAACAGTTTCCTTTACTGTTTTTCCTAGATCTACTATTTTTGTCCTCACCATTACTTTTATTTATTCCTCTGTGTGGATGGCCTGTCACTGTCGAGTGTCAAATGGGGAAAACAGCACCAGTGCATTAATTACTGTGCAATATACTGCTTTTAAGCTAATCTATGGTTGAATAGCCACTCTATAAGGCTTAGGAATTTGCCGTCCACTAAGAAACTGTTTGATACAAAATTAAGTACGATGTACTCAGAGAACAGAACTTAGGAAATAGTAGTAACCTGAAACAAGAAAGGCTAGGCAGTATGGGTCTGCTTTTATATCATTTTTAAGGAGAACTGAATATTAAGCGTGACAGAATTGAAAATATAACTCGTAGACAATTTGGCACCTTTTTGAATCTACATATCAACTTCGAATACGCCAAAGCAACGTTTACTTATTCAAAGGAACTTTAGAATTAAAGGAAAAAAGTCTCTCTGAAGTATACAAGAGCCAACAAAGCAGTTTTAAACAAGTTTGCTCCTAGATGATGCATTACTAGTGGTTATTCATAGTATCGAGACAGGTCCTGGACAAGCCGAAATTGAAGGTCATGAGACGATAGGCTTATTTGAGTAAGTCTATCAGGCAGTACAAAAGCATCCATACATATTTACAGTGGCCCAGTTTACTCCTACACTTTTTAGGAGAGTAGTTCTAGCTTTAAACGCTCCACCAGCATGATTTCAATACATATAACCGTGACTATTCTAGAACATCAGCATTAAACCAATTGGTTTACAGATTGTAGATCTAGATATTATTACTGTGATGATATAAGAAAAGAACTTGGGTACTGCAATAGATTATGATTGTGATGTGGTTTTGTTCTCTGAGCTGGATGGTTAATTTGCGAAGCTTTCATCACCCAGTAGGGTGATGAAAGCTTCGCAAATTAACCATCCAGCTCAGAGAACAAAACCACATCAAAATCATCCACCTGAGCTACAAATCTTCTCTATCATATATAGATTATGATTCGACCATACAGTAAATTTATCTGATAAAATCAAAATGATACAATATTGTTTACCGATGACGTAATAGGTAAGACTGTCATCATGTAGGATACTCAAGCAAAGACAGTGACTTATATTGTTACTACTGAAAGCCTCAAGGTATAGAGAATGGAATTTTCCGAATATAAACAGCTGTCCAGTACTCCAGTGCTGGTTTTCAATGGTTCTCTAATTGATATCAATCCGTGGTCAACTCGTAAAAACATAACCAACCCTTACAAACCAAACTATAGAGAATATAAACTACCCGATTTCTTTTAACGTGGGATATCATTCAAAAAGAAATGATCAAATATCTGAAAATAATCATTTCAAGTCAAGAAAAATCTCTTGGATAGAATAATTACAGCCAGTGAATGGTGGCAACAAGTGTAAACAACTACTGCTGTAACTATTTGAATACGAATTACATTATAGGAATACTCCACTAGATTTCTATTTTTTTCTATACTGATTTATATTAAGCAGTATAAATAAGTGATAAACACTTCAATTTGAACCAGCACACATCCTAGTCACATTTAATCTCTTTTTCAATAATTTCTCTTCAGGTTCTTACAATTATAAAATATAATATTTGTGGTCGTTACAATAATGATAGCCAGTTATGCGGCGGATACATTTTTAACATAGAATAACAGATTAGTTATGGGGTGTCAAAATAAATAGTCATATTTGTGTGACAAACGTGTTGTGCTTCAAGTTATATAGGGCGCACGATTAGGCAGGTTCATCTACGGGTTAGAGAACACTTACCAGCTTGGTTCAGCAGGGGGGAAATTAAGTGCATAAAAAGCTCGATCCTGTCACACTTGGTCGATACTGGACAGCTTTCAGGGTTATATCACGTACAGTTCGCTTACGTCTCCTACACATAGCTGAAGCTGTTGCAATAAGATTGACTAAACCGGAACTTTGTATCCAAAAAGAACACGTCCAGACGCTGTTCCTACCGTGGCCAAACTTGGATTGAAGATTTTTCTTCTCATCAGAAGTGCTCCTTCCCCTTAACCCTCTTGGATTTTTTTCTTTTTTTACTTTGCTTATTATTATAAATATTATTATTACAGTTATTATTATTCGTCATAATTTATGCCCTTCACGAAAACATTCCCTCAATACTATCAAATTTTTCATTTATACGGACCTATTATTAGTGATATTATCTCTTTTTTCAATAAATGCCTCCACCTGTCTCATTTCACACATTCGTTCTTTCATTATGAACCTCTCATTGCAGTCTTACTATCTCCTGTTTAACACAGACCACTTTGTACTAGCCACTCACCTGACACCTCTTTTTATAACCTTGAACCGACTTGTCAATCTTTCCTACCCCACACTCTACAATTCTATTATGATTAATCACCACCATTGGCTTCCATTTTACAATATTTTCTAATCGATTTCAGCCTAGCACGTTTGTCACACAAATATGACTATTTATTTTGACACTCCATAACTAATCTGTTATTCTACGTTAGAAATGTATTCGCCGCATAACTGGCCTTTATTGTAACGACCACAAATATTATATTTTATAATTGTAAGAACCTGAAGAGAAATTATTGAAAAGAATATTCTTCGTTCAGATTGACTTTTAATTCATAATGTGGGAATATTTAACACTATCAAACATTTAGTTTTTTTTAAAATGAATACAGGTGTACACGGGATGAGTATAGAAACAAGTTGGGACAAATAATTTACAAAGTAAACAAAAATCTATCAAAGCCAGTGTGTTTCCGACTTCTTTGTTTTGCAGAAGCCTCCGCCATACGCATCGAAAAACCTGAGCTGCGTTTTCAAAAGAAACTAGTTCAACTACTGATATACGTATGAAACTTGGGCACTGTGATAGAGTCTAATTTTATTTTGGATAAGATTTTATTTTGATAAATCACACAGTGTTATGCAGTAATATTTACTGATGACGTTTCGAAACAAGGGGAGCTCGTAGACCGTTAGGCCACTGAGACCCGATCCAATGGCCCATGAATTCTAGCTTCTGTTAATTCACGATATAGCGCAACCGCTAGCCAATGTCTTCGGTGAGTATTTGTCCTCTCACCCGACCCCCAATGGTTCTCTAACCAATATCAGCTCATGATGAAATCCTGTAACCAATCAACCAAATCCCTACAAACCAATACTTGAATATCAATCAGATGATCACTGGTGACTGGCCCCATTCAGGTAGGTAGTTACCTGGGGTTCCAGTGGGAAGTCGTGACCAGTAGGGTGCAACAGGTCGGGTGTGAGGACAAATACTCACCGAAGACAGTGGCAAGCCGTTGCGCTATATCGCGAATTGGCAGAAGTTAGAGTTCATGGGCCATTGATTCGGGTCTCAGTGGCTTAGCGGTCTACGAGCTCGCCTTGTAACCAGAAGGTCCTGGATTCGACTACCCGTCGGTGGGTGCGTACTGTTGAAGAGTCCCAAACTAGGACGAAACAGCCGTCCAGTACTCCTTGCAGGCTTTTCAATGGTTTTCTAGCCAATGTCAACTCATGATGAAATCCTGTAAAAAAATTGTTATTTCAGTCAAACAAAACTATTATTTCAGCTCGTTTTCACGTACTTAACATGTTCACACGAGTTTCTATACTCTAATGAATAATTCTAATTTCAAAATCAGTATACCATACATTTGGCATGTTTTCCGAACAAAATCCTTGCGGAAAGAAAAACTAAAGCCATCACCACCATCACCAAGCATCTAGGTATAAGGTGGCAAGTAATAATGCGAGTTATAGGTAACAGCCTCTTCTTCGCTTTATGTTAGTTAGAGACTTCACCATAGTTATTACATTTTATAACATCAGCATCACAATTCGTTCAGTAACTTGTAAAACTGTTTATTAAAGAGCACAATTTGAAAAATTATACAATATTACACTTAGATATGATATGCTTTTGAATGCAACATATTGAAACATAGAAATCGAAATTATCCAAAAATCTACTTACCATGGCTAAGCATAGGATTACAAATTCGTTGAAGGGACATGAAAAATACTGATTTACGAGTAACAAAGCAGCTCCCAGCATAACCGTGTCAAATAAATTAATAGAACTCTTTGTCATATGAGCGATCTAAAAATGACAGAAAATCAATAAAGTGACTTTCAATAGGCACTTAGGAAAAAACATAAAATTCAGTTTGTTAAAATCAACAGAATTGAGGATGTATTCCCACAGATTAATACTACTATTGCATATTTCGTTTTAACCAAACTAAACTTGTCTAAGAAAATACCATTTAAAAAATGTATATATTTATGGACTGTTATTTTTTCGACAGCTTATCCTGTTAATCAAAATGGTGTGTATACCTTAGCTTCAAAAGCCTATTCCTACAGTGAAAGTTGGTAACTTTAGTAACGGGTTGATCTCTGACGAAATCTCAACACGGATACAGAGGGCTAGTTTCGCATATGCCAGTTTACTCCGTCTCTGGCTTAGTAGACGTGATATCCGACTGGCTGTCGACCAAAGGGCGAGTGTACTGCTCATCAGTTCGCTCCGTCCTCCTTTATGGCTGTGAGACCTGGCCATTGAGAGTGGAAGACATGAAAACCGTGGCTAGCCGTCTTTGATCATAGGTGCCTGCGCTCTATCCCCCCTGTGAAGTGGTATAATAAGGTGAGCAATATTGAGATTAGGCGTCGAGTTCTAGGTAAGCAAGGGAAATCAATCGACGAGGCTGTGAAATTACATCGACTGAGATGGTTAAGACATGTAATACGGATGCCTAGTCATCGCCTTCCTCGACCGACGGGCAATGTTAGCTGACATAGGGTCAGGCTGGAAAAGAACCAGCGACGGTCAAACCAAAACATGGCACCAGTCAATGAAATCCACAACAGTTAGTTTACGCCAGCCACGTAGGAAGATGTAGACTTCCTGACTGGTTGGGGTCCTCAGGATGGTAAAAACCAATAGCTGGAAACAATTGGTGATATGGCTGTAAATCGTTCTCAATGGCTGGCGCAGATGCATCCACTCCTTGTGACTTATGATTTCCAATGAAACTGTATTGTTCTTCGTTATTACTCTTCCTTTGTCTCACACCTCTGTTTACTGTCTCTATTATGCATTTCTTATACTTTCTTCTCTTGCTTTGCGTGCTACAAGGAGGGAGTGTGGCGACTTGAACTGGCGCACATATGTGCAAAGTTCTATGTCGAAAACAGACAGACAGACTTTAGTAACGTCAGCCAGAAATAATAAAATGATAATGAAATAAATCCTCTTGTTATATATATAAGACACAACCAAGGTGGTGAAGAGTAGCTAAAAAAGCATTTTAGCTATAAGTTGACAATATTACAAAAATATACATATTTAACACACTGTGGGATTAACTTAATCCAATTCCTTTTTGAAACTAAAGTATGTGGGCATGACAAAATAGAAATGCTTCTCTCAACTACTATAAGACCCGTAGAATGAAATTCCTGTATATTATTTAAAAGTCGATATTTCAATTCTTTACATGAAAATTTTTTATTGGACACTGGTCAGTAACTAGTATAGTGTGCGCGTGTGCGTCTAGTTTCAACTTTGGTGCAGACTGAATACTATCAGTCAAGTCCGCAATGTAGCCATCATGCTACGTGGCTCGCCATCACGGCGTACTGTTCCTATTGTTGGTATTAGATGACTGGAGACAATCGACAGGAAGCCTTGGAGCTAAATTCCGTGTTAGTTGGCATTCACTAGTGTCCAAACAAAAATATCCACTACAATCCTACAGAAGGTCAATCGCGAGCCCGAATAACTCAGTGGTAACTGCAACACTAGGTGACGCGGCTTCGAGGGAATATGAGTTCCTTCGAGATTGCAGATACGCCTTGCTGATGAGTTCCAACTAGCACAAAATCTAGATCAAGCAAGGCTTCCTGCTGATTGCTTCCAACCATGTAATACCAACAATTACATGAGAATGAAGAAAGGCAGTAAAATCCAAAAATGACCTATATGGTAATGTTATAAAGTGCTTAATACAGAATGATTTTATTTCAGTGAATGACATTTACATTTGTAGAAAGAATATTGCAAATAATTCGCGCCATAAATCATTTGGAGTCAATGATTATGTGCCTAAGTTGGTAGATAGATATTATTTAATTTCTTAAAATAGAAAAGGAATTGTGCTGGATTGTCCACACTATGGCTTTTGAATTAGAACGCAAATGAATAAAACTACTAATTAAAGGACACACAGTTATCAACAAGAAGTCATTCTACTTCATCAACTCGCCAAAGTTTATTTCTCCACCACTCCCACTAATCGGTGCCTAGGTGGTGAGATGATAACCAAGCATCACTTACGTTTATAAACTGCCACGTGACACGTAAGTACCATGGTTCAACGTTATGATTTAAAAGTCTCTCTTAATCATTTCAGACATACTCTTTTTTAATCCTACTATTTATAACAACCATAAATAATTGAATTGCAGTTGACTCTGTTTCCGAATAATCTAATTAGTCTTTTTCGATTTCTTACCTATTCAATTCACACAAAAGTAGCTATTAAGTAAATCATATTCACAGAGGATACAAAACAAAACTTATCAAAAGGTTAATATTTTTTACAATTAAACTCACCACCAAACGTTGGGAAACTTTAACTACAATAAATCCAAAGGTTAAAAGAAAAATAAAGGGTGACTGATGATAGAGATTTATCGGAGAATTGACAGCAACTACAACAGCCAGACCAACTGAAAATGCCAGAGGACAGAATGGGAATAAAATACTGGTATTCTGAAATACGAAACAAGCAAAAAGAACATGATTGTAGAGTAATAAGCATTAATAAGGATCTAGAAACGTAATACTAAAAATTACACATTCTTTCTTTGAACGTCTGCTGACTATTTCATAAATGTATCGGCCCTTAGAAATCTAACTACAATAATTTCAGTTAACGAAATGCTTAGGGTATTCAGTTTTAGCATTTTGACAGACTTTGACAGAATGGGAAAATAAGGGTTGCTCCCCTTAACTTCACAGATTTTATATGTGGGTGTATTCATACTTTTTCGAATGCAGTGTCTTTTGCATAAATTATACGTATTTCTTTTGGATACATCGCGTGGGTTTGAGCTTTTGGATGGCTACTGCCTCGGCTATGTATTCAACGTATTATTTTAACCAAATGCTTTTCTACATAAAAGGTAGACTATTTTATTTCAACTAGGAACGCATTATACAGATATGAAATACAACTTAGAACGTTACTTTTGAATAGTCACTTATTTATAACTGTCTGGGTTTTTGTCTGTTAGTTGACTTATAGTTCAGATAGATGTTATTATTCAAAAATATAATTCCTCGCTAATTTTTAAATTTTGGTGTAGTTACCAGCATAAGTAGAATTCCTAGGCTAAAAACATACATGAGGAGTTTAAAATATGCTAACAGAAAGTCAGTGAAACATTAACACTCAGACAGATACAAATTAGTGCTTCAGTTCGATTCAGTCTTCGGGTTCACGGCACTATTCGGCTAATCAAGCCAAAACAGATGCGCTAATGAAATCCAAGAACACTAAAAGATGAGTGCTCAAGCTGAATCATCCCTCAGTAGATGAAGTACTACTACTACATAACTAACTGAGGCAAGAGTGACTTATTAAACAAACATTCTTGTATTTGAGAAAAGTGAAATATTTATCAATTTCAGTTGGAACGCTGTTTTATCTGCACATAGGGTCTATCTGCTTTGAGTAATAATTTGACCTATCAATCTAGACAAACTAAACAATGCAGTCCACAACGCAATGCACCGACATCTATGCGGTTGTAGATCAATTCTAAAAATTTGTATCATCTTGAAATATGCATATTCTGAATGCTTTATGTTAAATGTGATTGATTAATTGTAAACATTCAGCGCATAGTACCCATTTAGACCTCAGAGGTAATATGGCTTTTAACAGTTTTTATCATGGTGGGATATTGAATTATACAAACTTGGTAAACTGTGTCCCCTATTCCAAAAGTCCACATTTAGAAACCAGTGTTACATTCAACTCAATAATTTAGTCAGTCAAATAACATGACAGTCGTCAAAGTATTGAAAGGTATGTCCCTACAAAACTTTATATAAATCGGTATGTGTAGAAGAACGTTCGACTGTTAGCTGAAGTGTTTTACAAAATAATGTGAAAGGAAACAGCTTCTTCAAATATCTATAAAATTTCTCTGCTGGCAATAGAAATATCCTAAACATCGACTTTACCAAAAATACAACATTTAAGTGCTGACAAGCTACACAACTGAATTTATTAGCGAACGTTATGCTCCCAATAGACTGATTCCATCTAGTGTTTAGTGATTACAGCTACACATGGTATTTACGTGTGCTTTGTGTCCAGTAAAATGCAAAATATAGGATGTATAGGACACAACTTACAGCAATCGTCGCTCCATATTTACCACAACCACCTTTTGAAATTGTACCACCGAATTGAACGATGATGAGAAGCATAAAAGCGGAAAACGCCAAGAACTGAATGACCCTGAGTTCTATGCTGAAAATTGGGTCCTGTAGAAAATAAGTACATTTTAAGACTAAACAACACATTTCTTAAGGGATAATGAATTTAAACACAGTCATATACTATGAATAAAGCCGTATGTCAAGATTATGAGAAACTAGTTATGACCTTTGCAATCATGAAGAAAACTTACAGGAACAGGTAGTTTTACATGCAAAGAAAATAAATAATTCAGCTTTCATGAATAAAGCCACTTATTCAGACAAAAGCCACTTATTAACATTGGTTTCGTTTGTCTCCTAATTAACAAAATCAAAAATCTATCTTAACAATCAAGAACCAACCAGTAACTTTATCCTGGCTGCCAAATATGGCGACCGAAAGCTGCTACCTTGACGTGGTGGTCGGGCTTGAACACCGCAATGACCTAATCAAGCTATACTGGCTGAGACTTATGTCTCTTGAGGTTCTACCATGCCAGGCAGGTTGTTTGGATAGCGGTTAAACAAAAAGCAGCTACCCAATCCAACATCATGTCCAATACAAAATTACAAAATTTCATGCCGGATCGGCCGTGGCCCGGATTAACAACGACCGCGCTTCCTGCTGCCGTGTCACAGGGCGGGAGTGATAAATCTGCTACTGAGACACACAAAACAAAAAGAACAAACAAAAACAGGCCGCGTGTGACCGGCCTCAAGCAGTTGTCCCCTGGGCTCTGCGGTCACGCAACCAACTTCCACGGTGTGGGCAGCCGGGAAGTAACAATCGCCCTCACAATCCGAAATGCACACGAAACCTCTCTATTACTCACTCATCTTTGTCTTCATCTTCATCTCTATCATCTTGCCTTCCTTCCACTGATGCAACTCCTCGACTTGATAGCTCTCCACTTCCTCTCCACTCTGCGTCCACTAAAAACGATGGAAGCCAAAAAACCACCACCGACAGCCTCTTAAAGCCGCGCCACCAATTTCATATAGGAGCTCTTAATGTTAGGACACTTTGCCAAATAGGACAACAAGCATCACTAGCCAAGACCCTGGCATCACGAGCCATTGATGTATGCTGTGTTTCAGAAACACGCATACAAGACCCAAGTGTGGTTATTCACCTAACCCCACCTGGCCAACAGGTTGAATCTGCAAAATTCACCTTGAGGGTGTCAGGAGATGCCACAGCTAGTTCACGAGGATTAGCTGGCGTAGGGATAGCTTTGAGTACTAGGGCAGAAAAGACATTGCTTGACTGGATCCCGGTAGATAGCCGAATGTGTGCTGTCCGCCTGAACGGATCAGTAAGAAGGAGGAAGGACTGCACTACTCGCCGATGCCTTTTCGTAATCTCCGCCTACGCCCCCACTGACTGCAGTTCAGATGAAACGAAGGATGAGTTCTACCAAAAGCTGTCTAGTTTGGTGAGAAAGGCTAAACGCTCAGACATAGTCGTTCTAGCTGGTGACTTTAACGCTCAAGTAGGGAAATTGTGTCAATCTGAGAAGGATGTCGGTGGCACCTATGGAGTTCCGTGCCAGCGAACCGACAACGGTGACCGTCTCCTACAGTTCTGCTCTGATAATCATTTGTTTCTTGTAAGCACTAACTTCAAACACAAGGAGAGACACTGTTTGACTTGGAGACCCCCTTCATCAAACCAACGCTGGACACAAATAGACCACATAGCAATAAGCTATCGTTGGCGTGGGTCGGTAGGAGATTGTCGCTCCTTCTGGAACACGTGCGTAGATACCGACCATGCACTGGTCCGCGCTCGGGTGTGCTTACGACTGAACGGACGTAGGAAACAGCTGGCGGTAAAACCATCACGTCCCCAGCTCGATCAGGAAACTAAATCCGTATTTGAGGAAGAACTAGCTAAACACATATCTGTGTTCGACAGCTGTGCTCACCCTGAAGAAGCTTGGAAAAATATCCAGGCAGCCATAGATACAGCTGTAAAAGCTGTGAATAAGGTAAACCCAAAGGTGAGTAAAAACCACTGGATCTCCACCGCCTCATCCGAACTGATAGATGCTAGAAGACTTATTCCGGCGAGCTCCGAATTCAATGAGGAGCGAAAGCTGCACAAGAGGAAACTTACGAAAAGTCTCCGCAAGGACCGTGAACAGTGGTGGGCGACAAAAGCCAAAGAGATGGAGAAAGCTTCGAGGATAGGCAACACCAGGCAACTCTTTGGACTCATCAGGGAAACGGGTGGGAGAAGACAAATCATTAGTGAGACAATCTCGGAAAAAAATGGCACTATAATTAGCTCACAGGATAGACGACTGGATCGTTGGAAAGAGCATTATGAGGAGCAGTTTAATTTGCCCACAGCCACGCTCAACCTTCCGAGCATCCAACACCTCCCTGAATGGGATATAGATACAGGTCCTCCGTCACTAACTGAGGTTACTAAAGCTGTCACCAATCTGAAACTAGGCAAAGCAGCGGGACCTGATGGAATGACTCCAGAGGTATTTAAGTACGGTGGAGACAGCTTACTGTCCGGATTAACTGAGGTACTAGGCAGCGTTTGGGAATCAGAAGAAGTCCCATCGGGTTGGTGTAAGTCACTGATTATCCCCATATACAAGAAGGGAGACAAGTCTTCCTGTGATAATCACAGAGGGATTAGCTTGACTAATATAGTATCTAAAGTCTTAGGCTCAATAATCATGCGTAGACTGAGTGGTGCTCGGGAAGCACAAACACGAGAGAGCCAGGCAGGCTTTAGACCAGGAAGAGGGTGTATTGATCATATCTTCACCCTCCGACAGATTCTAGAACATAGGCATTCCTACCGGCGTCCAACAGTCATTATATTTCTTGACCTAAAGGCAGCATTCGACTCTGTCGATCGGGAAGTTCTCTGGAGATGCTTGGCTGTAAAGGGAATTCCGAGAAAATATATTGCACTGATTAAGGCACTCTATTCGTACTCATACAGCCAGGTGAGGGCTTACGGCGAGCTGTCATCTGAACTGATGACGACCAGTGGTGTCCGTCAAGGATGCCCATTATCTCCTTTTCTATTCAACTTCATCATAGATGTGTTAATGGACTTAACCCTAGGTGACTTCAGCGATTCAGGGATTGACTTGCTACCTGGGAATAATCTCGTTGACTTGGAATATGCAGACGATATAGTCCTTCTAGGCGAAGACGCTGACGAAATGCAGAGTCTTCTAAACACCTTGAACAGCAATCTACGAATGTTTGGCATGCGATTCGCTCCCGCCAAATGCAAGATGATGTTACAGGACTGGACTACGCTGGCTCCTAGTTTAGAAATAGGAAGTGAAGTGGTAGAGCACGTTGACCGCTTCACTTATTTGGGAAGTACCATCAGCCCCAACGGGCTGATCTCTGACGAAATCTCAGCACGAATACAAGGGGCTCGTTTCGCATTTGTTAGTTTACGCCGACTCTGGCGTAGACGAGATGTTCGACTATCGACCAAAGGGCGGGTGTACTGCTCATCAGTCCGCTCCGTCCTCCTTTATGGTTGTGAGACCTGGCCACTCAGAGTGGAAGACATGAAAAGACTAGCTGTCTTTGATCATAGGTGCCTGCGTTCTATTTCCCGTGTAAAGTGGCATAATAAGGTGAGCAACATGGAGGTTAGGCGTAGAGTTCTAGGTAAACAGGGGAAATCAATCGACGAAGTCGTGAAGCTACATCGACTGAGATGGTTAGGACATGTGTTACGTATGCCAAGCCATCGCCTCCCTCGACGAGCAATGTTAGCGGATATAGGGTCAGGCTGGAAAAAAGCTAGCGGCGGTCAAACAAAAACTTGGCATCAGTCAATGAAATCCACAACAGTTGGTCTTAGCCACGTAGGAAGGTGTAGACTTCCAGGCTGGGGTCCTCGGGACGGCAAAAATCTATGGTTGGAAACAATTGGTGACATGGCTCAAAATCGTTCTCAGTGGCGCAGATGCATCCACTCCCTGTGACTTATGATCTCCAATGAAACTGTTTTGTATTTCTTTATTACTCCTTTGTCTCACACCTCTGCTCACTGTTTCTATTTGCTTTTCTTGTACTTTCTTCTCTTGCTTCGCGTGCTACACGGAATGTGGCGACTTGAACTTCCGCACATTTGTGCAAAGTTCTATGTCGAAAACAGACAGACAGACAAATATGGCGAAAAATTCTAGGTGAAAATAAACATTAGTAGCCACCCAAAAGTTCTTGCACAAACAATCCAGATAAAGGACTGCGAGCACTGAGTTCGTTGTTAAATTGTATATTCAAATATTTAGACTTCTAAGGAGGACAATTTTGCGTTTCTCTAATCCTAAACCCAACTCCAAACTCAGTCTAATCTCTAAATCCTAACCCATATTTTAGCGTTAACCCTAACCCTATACGCTGAAAGCAGATAAGCGAGATTAACTGAGAAATTGAAGCAAAACGTATAAGACATTCACGACTGTTTACAAAACATTTACTTGCAAAGCTACACTGATAACCACGTGAAATTTTACCTAACACCGAAAATCTATTCTTTCATATTAATAACTATACATTGGTAGTGAAGACCGTGGGCCAAGGCGTTATTTTCGACCTGACAATACTTGCACCGAACCAAAGTAAAGTGACGAAAGAGATGTTACCTCTTTTCCTAAATTTAAACTAACTCTACATAAGAAATTATGTGAACGAAATGATAAAGAAACTCCGATCCCTTCAACACACTAGACAACAAAACGGTTGGGTTTGATAAATCTGCCAAGCAACCTGGAGAATTCACAGACTAATTAATCTTAGGTAACTTTCCTTAGTTGCGTGCACACAAGGCAACACTATGCAACACTATGAGCGAAAAGAAATTTAAAAATATGTAGGTTTTAAGACTGTAAACTCAAATTTGTTAGTAAAACGATCTTAAGGAATACTGGGTTTTTGAAATGTCTTACGGATAGGATTACCTTGGATGGACCGTTTGAGAACGAAGAAAAACCCCATTATGAAAGTTTTAGATGACAAAATGCACTTACTTTAATACTCCAAAAAGAAGATCCAAACATTGATGTTATCATAGATGCTAACATGCCGATTATAAGGCCTTCAGTCACCCCAACCCTATAAAACCACTAAGCAAGCATAATGCACATTTACCGATCAAACGACAGAATTCCTGTGACGTAACACCGCCAATGAGCTAAATAAAATAAGCACTGTATACAGAAGTATTGTATAAACATTAATACAGGCCAATCGTTGAAACCCAAAGTGATAAAATAACCAATCGGTAGAACACCTAAACATAATTAATACGTATAAAAATTTACATGTTGATATAGCGTCACACCCATGATCAAATAATTCTCCTAGTTGGGAGCTGGAACCTGTGCGACGGGCATGTAAACCATCTAACGCATCTAAGGTTTGGTATATAAAAACACAAACCGCGAACAGTAGCGAAGTTATTGGGCCAGCCTTAAAAATGTTAAGTATTTAACATCGTACTTACTCCGTATATAAGAAGTAAACAAATCGAAAATAAGTTAGCAAGAAGACCAATTAAAGTAAGAGTATTCGGAGCGATGTATGAGGGAACATATAGTGAAGACTTCAACCAAAAATCTTTGAAAATGCTGTCGCATATACTTCCTCCTTCACAGTGGTACTTATGCTCAAGCAAACGATTTAGTTGATCCTTGGAAAGAGATTTTGACGTCCTCCATGGGGCCATCCCCCTACTTGATGAAGTATTTTGTACAGTGCGCTCTCAAATGCTTCATGGTCAGCCTGATAGCGCGGCTTTCAAATAGCTGATGACTAGTTGAATACTCTCTTACCTAATTTCAGGGCAATGTTGGAAAAACGGATGAATATCTCACCATTACTCAATAGACAAAAATAAAGAAGAGAGGTAGGAAGTTTACTAGTTAGCCAATCCATGAGGTTGTAGACAGTTTAAATTGTGAAGTCTGTAGCGAGCCTTCTAATTTCTTCTTGATTTTGAGAGTCTCAAACATTATTGATTGAGAGAAGAATTTGTGGCATGTTATGAAACGGTAAACTTCCTAGTATCTGTCTAGATCTCCACACCAAGCAACGTCAATGGGTGAATCATCTAAATCCACGTTGAAGTAGAAAGCTATTTAAACTTTCTTTGGGACTACCCAGCGGCTCGTATCCCCTAATTGATGGGCACCTAAGCAGGGACCAGTATTTCACAAGGTCAGATCACTGGGCACTGAGACGAATTTAACCGAATTTAGTGACCCGTGAGTTAGGAATTCTGTTCAGCCTTATCCAGAGCTGCTATTATTCAGTGGTAATGCACAGGGTTAAAGAAGTTCGTCAAATCAAATGAACCTCAGTCGTTTCTTTTTCTATGATCGATTTATTTGCCTGTGCGAGTTAATACACAGTGTGGACATTCGGGTACTCAAGGAATAAGAGCGTGAATGCTGCGTTGTGGTTTGACTGTCTATCGCTATACTCTCCTTATGCCAATATTAGTTAATACGTCCTTGAAATGCTGCAGATGTTATATTTCCCCCACAGTAGTTGGGACGATGTTAAGAGCAGACTGGGCACCAGGTCACTTTTCCAGTTAGTCTGTGGGACAACACTACGGTTAACAGGAGAGTTTTTCACATCACTCAACCAAGTTTCGTGTGATACATGACTTTGCTGAAACGACACATGAATAGGCTACAAATATCACTTCCGTGACAGCAGCGATGATTATCATACATCCCGCTACGGCTGATAAATTGCATTTAAGTTTTCGTCCGCTTCAACTAGCTTACGATAGTCCATTTAGAGTTCCAGATAGGAATGACAAAGTTATCAGAGGAAAATGACCGAACAAAACAGAAGCCATCAGTATTGATAGAGTCAAACTAGAGTTTATCGATAACTACCAAGGCAACGTCAGAGATAACTTGAACGACTTGTCGGCACCACCATTCATTAGAACTGCAACGTCATCAAAGAAACCTGTAAAAACAATGCGGCCCAATTGGAGGGTCAACTGTCTTAAACGTTTTCTTCAAGTTATCACTAATTAGCCTTTCTTTGGAAATGCTCAATAACCTCCTCATCATTTCATTTAATCATATAATGTTTAATATTTACATATCGTTTTCTCTTAACGGCTACAAGTCCCTGCCCGATTTTCATCAGCTCATATATTTTCTATCCAGATTATCAATTCCATTAGTCTTGCTGCATTCATCATTAATATTACAAACTGATCATACATTCTTAAAAACTGTGGATTAACTTGTGGGTTTTCCTCTCAATGCATACACAGTTTTGAATGTGTTGCAGATGCTATATATATCACAGATAACTCACATCACCAAAAGTTTAGATTTAACACTTCATATTCCAGGTTCCTGGTGAGGAATTATGTAGCGCCCAAATATAAACTCCGGTTGAAAGCTTATAGAAACTAATAAATGCCCCCAGACATACTTTAACAAAAAGTAATTGTCAGCCACGTATCGTAAACCGTCAATGCCCAGCTCTTGCTACGCTGGGACTCACGCTGTTCCTTGAAGTTTTTCAGAAACGCTTAGTAATAACGGACGCAAAAACCAAAACACCGATTGGCTGCTCGATGATTCATTATTGTCACACCAACATATAAAACTTATGTTTTACTAGTGTCTGTGAACAAATTTTACAATAATAAATCGCAATATTACTTCTGACGGTTTACTGCTGACTTCTTTCTGAACAGCGACCGACGAGACGATGACTGTCGTATTGATGCCTCCACGAAAATTGGGGAAGTTGGTCTTGAGCAAACAACCGTGAATTGATCGTTCAATCTTCAACTACATTGACACTCCCCGGTCATTAAGGAATCCATCCCTTGTTTCCATCACGACCAATACACGTCGACTTGGATGCCATTGCGAGAACCTGGGTCACATGGACAGAGCTGAAATGGAAAACAAACAGAAAAGCCAACACACCGCATGCATACCCACAGCACAATCTCACACATCAGTGACGACCTGCGCCTTCCAGTTAAAGGCATCCTCTTGCAACACAATCGCCACTTGCTAGAATGACTCTTGCAGAATGCAACGTGACCATAGCACCACCTCATGATACTCCACGCACATCGTCTTGTCTACTCACTACCAATTACCACTGAAATCGCTTGTCACTCATTCTGCCTAAGTTCTAGCAGCGGTGACGCATGCGAGCCTCAGTCGTTTACACTCTCGCTACCCGGCGTGTGGGGCCGCAGCTAACAATTATCTTCGTATGCATTTCATTCTCAGAAATAGCCCCCCCGGCGTATACGACTCATCTGCTGTCTCTAACATCAATCAATTCATTCACGGATGTAGAAGACTCGAAACAATTTCAGAAGTAATCACGACGAAAATTTTAACAAAATTATGCAATAAACACAAGGTACGAAAACAACGATTAAACACAATGAATCCAAAAAACACCAATTGATATGACACACCACACATATATACAAACAGTGCAAACAAACTCGCAGATCGTTTCTCCATGTTATTCCTTTGAAGAATCGCAGGACTTACACCAGTACGCCTACAACCCTTCACAGGTTGACGATTGTAAGTTGTGGAATGTCCGGACACAAACAAGATTAACCAACAATACAATAATTGGAACTCACACAATCATTTAACACAAACATATGTACAATCAACACATCAAATGTTGTGGATTCTGGCACGACGAACTACCCTTGAAGAACTGTAGGACTTACAGCAGTACGCCTACATTCCTTCTCAGGTTGATGATCCAAGTGGAAGTCGTCCGGACACAAACAGAATTACCAACAGCTAGATGACAGATGATATCAATTCAGTATATACAATATGAACTTATGTACAAAATCACACACCGAGCACATTGGACTGCTCATTGATGCGCTACCCTTTGAAGAATTGTAGGACTTACACCAGTACGCCTACAACCCTTCTCAGGTTGACGCTCTAGGTTGGAAAATCGTTGTAGAGTTCATTTGCTGACTTCCTTCTATCAGCTATATCCTCAAATCTGAACGGTAACACGCTCATGTCATTGTATCGTAGAATATAGATGACGAACAAACACACGACGTATCTGGTCAACCAAGCGTAGGCACAGAGTAATTTACACCAAAGATAATAGCATTCAAATAGTAATTTGAAACTAGAAATGCCTTTATTCATGCAAGTCAATTTAACAATTACTCTTTCGTTTACACTTGGCTTATTCTCACTAAACTGAGCAATATCTTTCGTCCTTTCAAATGCACCAATACTATCAAAATCATTGCACAAGATACTTGAGTTGATGGGCGTCTGTTTCATTGTGGATGACAACACCAACGACGACTGAGTGACACAAGTTGATGAACTTAGCGGTGGATCAAAAGCTGTTGTTGCTCGACTTTCAGAAATTTGTCTACCTGCAAGACCACCACCACTGCTGTCTTTTACTATCAGCTCAGGTTTAGCACTATCATCTGATGATAGGTGGGCTACACGCTGATCAATCACACTGACGGTCTCACAAGTACGCATGCCTTCTGCAACTGCACCTGCATTTATTTCTACTTCACGTTGTAGTTGTACAGAATCTTTAATTAACTTAGCAGTAGTAGGCATTCCCTCCATTTCATCATGATCAAACAAAGACAAAACTGCACTATCATGATAAGTGCCACAAATATTCAATTAACCGTCAAGTTCATCATTTTCAAACTCTTTAATAACAGCAGTAGACAATTTTGGCTGCACCTCGGGAATCATTAAAGGTTTTATATCTTCACTCTGACTAGTAATACCTCGTAAACTTGTGGAGTCAGAACTGTCCTCTGAGACTGTAACTCTCCTCTGTGGCATACTATTCAACAATGGCTTACCAGTTGCAACTACAGACTTCTTGACCACACCGTTATCGTCAGACAATTCGGAGTCAGACCATGATTTCACATTTAGCTTATCCCTGAACTTGCTCACTGATTCACAGTTCACCTCTGTATGCACCTCTTGCAAACGTGTAAAACACAACCGTGTTTGTCTTCCACCTTGTAACTTATCTGTTGAGGATGTACTACGAAACCTGTTACATTCACTAGGTCTATATGCATTACTATACATCATGGAGCCTTCTCGATATCCACCTCTCGGAGGCCTATTCGTCATCAATGATTGCATATTGCTCTCAGACTGCTCTATTCCAGGGGTGAGATTCAATATACTGGCAAACTTTCTCATCGATTGATTGACACTAGTATTTACTAGTTTCAGGATATCATCAAATTTTGGCTCGATACCCTCATCCTCCATACGGGAGATTATCTTCACTCACTTCCTTTGCAGTCGAGTAGGTAGGCGTCTTGCTATTACTTCTAGTATAAAACTCGAGTTGAGGTCACTCATGCGATTCATAGAAATCAAGGTATTCTTATAAGTCATAAGATTATCTAAAAACTCAATAATTGCCTGGGAGTCATCCTGTAATTGACCACCATTACCCTTAACAGCCTCGAGTAATTTCCCTACAATCATCCAAGATCTTCCAAACCTTTGACGTAGTATGCTCATAGCCTCGTAGTAGCCCTCTTTTGGCTTCATAAACTTACAGCACTGTATAGCTCTTGCAGCAATTCCAGTGCAATACCTCATCAAATACATTAACTTCAATTCATCACTTAATAGAAAACTATGCAGCATGATCTCAAACTCCTTTACAAATTGTAAATAATCAGCTGGGTTTCCATCAAAACACCGTGGTTCTAATTTAGGGAGTTTGATGTTCCTATTATCCCTGAACGGCGAAACAGTAACATCAACCATGTCATGCTTAACATCAGACACATCGTTACAATTAACAGACAAGTCACCATGACTTAC